CTCCTGGTAGCAGAGGGGTGGAAAGAGGCTTTGTGCAAAGAAAGAGGCATCCCAAGGCCTTGTCTAGGAGCAACGAAGGATGTTTGGTGTGTGCCCCTTCTTCACCGCACATGCTGTAGACAGGGATGGTTTGGTGTTTTCTGCACCCTCCACCCTGCTGCCCCTCTCTAGAAGCTGCCTGGCACCATCTTCCCCTCCTGCTGCCAGCTGCACAGGGACTTCTGCAAAATACTTCCAGTGCTGTTGCAGCCAAGGATCAGCTTCTCATATTTGCCCTGAAACCATGGAATTGTAGCCCATCTGTTTTAGTGCTGCTGCCTAAGGCAGTGGCTCTATTCATCCTTCAATTAACTCAGTGCTGTTTGAGTTATGTTTCGGTTAGAGTCTGTAAAAGCCTTCACTGCTAGGGCCTGCTTGGCTGCTGCTGAAAACATTTTGTGATGGCTTGAGTTTAGTTTCTGAAATGCTGTTGGCACTTATACTCTGAAAAACAGAGATGAAATTACTTTTTCTGTTCAACTGTGCTTTTCTTTGTGGCCTCTAACACAAAGTTCCGTACCTGAGGCCTCATCTGTATTCAATAGAGATATTATCAAATAAAACCAAAGGTTGGGGTAAGAGCTAGTATCTCAGCAGTTAGATGATTATTTCCTCCCAGACAGCATTAATCTCTGATGTTAGAGATGACCAAGGTACTGACATCCAGTAAAATAAAACTAAATAAACTGAAAAATTAAATAAAACTGAATTCTCTATGGGAAATCTCTCTGTAAGTCCTACACTGCTTTATGGGGTTACCATGCAGAGTTAAGCTGCTGCTGCTTTTCTGCCCTTGAACTGGCTGATCTCCAGTGGGGAGCGAAACTACCATTTCAAGCAGAGGTAAACATTTTTATTCTTTCTTTAAAAGGAATACACAAAGACAAGTACTAGAAACAGTTTGAGGCAATAGTAACAGTTTTCATATCTGTAGTTAAAATGTACACTCTGAAAGTACTGCAGTTGTCCGGATTTATATAGTGGATAAAATAGGAGTGAGTAAGAAAGAAGCAATATAAGGAAGGGCAATGCTACGTTGTAATGTCACAATTAGTCACATTTGTGTTTATGGAAAATCTGAGATGTTTTCCTAGCATTTGTGAATGTATATGAACTTCTAAATGGCTGTATCTGTATGATTTTCTATTGGCAGAAGCCCATTTCTGTGGAGGTATTTCTGATGTCAGTCTATGCTTCTTGATTGCAGGTGATTCATGCTCGAGATGCACAGTTTCTTTTTTTTTTTTTTTTTGGGAATTCGTGTGCTCAAAGGAGGGCATTCTGAACCCAGGGAGCAATTATTCTCCTGCCCACTGTGACATTTCTGACTGTTGCCAGAAGCTGCCTGTTGTGCTGTTCTGGGCTTTCTGTCTCTGTTTTGTCTGCATTTAATCAAATTGCAAGGAACCTTAGAGCAGAGATGGGATGAGACAAGATGGCTTGGGAAGGAAATGCTGAACAGATAGGGATGGATAGGTGAGTCCTAACAGGACAACATTGGGAAGCAAACCAGAGCACTGCTCAAGGATGAGGGGGGAGGTCTTGCATGCAGGTAGAGATTGCTAAGGCTGGGGGAAGGCAAAGTCCTGGAAAAGAGAGGAGTGTGTTGTGAGTAAAGAAAATGATGGCAAGCAAGTGCTGAGTATCCAGAATTTCTCCTGTGATTAGAATATAAGGAAACCAAAGGTAGATACTCAGGAAACATTGCAGTTCTGAATGAAACAAAGTGAGAAAGGATGAGCCACTTGGGTCATGTCATCCTTAGGATTCTACATATATGAACTGATGGCATTAAATATTGCTTGTACAAACTGCCAAAATAAGAACAAACACTGTGTCTGAGTTGCTTGGAGTAAGGTTGGTGTAACAGCACTTGTCAGAAGCTTTATAGAAAGCTGAAGAAAAGTGTTTATTTACTGTCTTTCATGGTAAATTTGGCTTATGGGAAGTCTGTGTGGTTTTTAAGTACGTATCATCTGCACTGTGTTTGTAGCCCAGCTAATTCTGAGGGAAAGTATCTGTCAGCTTGAGACTGGTCTCAGTTTGAAATTGCAATTTATGTACATGGACAGTGTCCCTAATCTAAAATATCCTTGCTGATGAGAGTGCCTTCAAGACGGTAAAAATCTGACCAGTGCTGGTAGGATCACATCTGGACAGAGCTGATTGCATCAGCTTATGTATTTATGTTTTCTATAATGCTCTAGGCCTTTGGAGAAGAGTAGCTTTAAGCTGAATTGCATCTCACTTAGGGCAGAAAATACAGTTAAGATAGACCCTGATGCACAGCTTGTAGAAAATTATTTTATCCTAGAAACATTTAGCAGAGCTGAGTTACTGTGAAAAAAATTTGAGAACTGACAGTGTAGAGTTTATTGTGTTAATTAGAAAGTGCTGCAACATTAGTGAGAAAATGTATTTTGGGCTCCACATTTTCTGTGGAACTTTTTTTTTTTTATCATGCCTGTAAGTGGTTTTCAGATGCCTAATTGGAGATGCCGTATGTGGAGGCCTGTACTATCTGAAAATCAAACCCTTTATCTAATAATGAATTTCTAAATACTTTTGATGTATTAAATGGGACCACATCAGTTATCCTTTAAAAGCAGGTTACTAATAGACAGAGCTGGTGTTTATGCTTACTCTATTTCATCTTTGGGTAGTAGGAAAGTTTTAGTAATAGAAACATTGTTGCTTAGAAACAAACACTACAGACCTCTGCTTAACTGTTTCACTGTGCTTGTGTTTGCTACTACACTTTTTTTTTTAAATCACAATAGAAATGACCTTTTGTTTTTTCATTACCTTGTGTGGGATGGCTGGAGGGTATTCTCACACTGCAAAGGCAATAAAGCTCAACGACAGATTTTTTTCTAACAAAATCCTTCTGCACAGCTGCATAACATAAATCATTCCCTCCCATTTCTGAATATTAGATATTTCTTGTATGAAAGTAACTTGCCTGAAAGCTGTTCTTGCCTGACTTTAACAAGGTTTGAGGTTTTTTGTTTGGCACAAATATTGTCACTTTTTAGTTTTATAACCATGATGCTCTTAGCTGTAACAATTGCATGGCTTGAGTGTGAGGAGGTATAGGTTAGACTGCCAAGATGTTTGTATTTTCATAACAGTCAGCTCATATTTTAAAAATACAGTGTGTGTTGTCCTTTACTTAAATTATTTATTTCTGAATTCAACTAATGCATATAGTGCCAAAACCCGGAGTATATCAAAAGTAAATTCAGGTGGTGGAGTAAGAATTGTCTTCTGGGACTAAAGCCATTATTTTTACTTAGGAGTTTTGCCCCTTTTCCATGTGACATTGCATTACTGAGGGATCACATTACAATGCTTCTGGAATGAATCGACTTGCACTGCCTTAATTAAAGGTATCAAAGTAGGAATGAATAACCCTGGCTGCATCTGTTGCTGCTGATTTGCTTTTACTACCACAGTGAGGCATGAGCTGCTTAAGGTCTCTCTGCAGGTTCAGGGTGTTCTTATTGATCTGCAGGACATGGTAGAGTATCTACAGGACCTTCCAAAGATCAAACCCCATCATATTCAGGGGGATGGCAGTTTAACTGAGTACTGCCTTAATAATAAAGTCATAATGAATTGTATTTATGAAACCCACTGCCACCACGGTGGCCGGCAGGAACTGCGCCCTGTTCACGCATAGAGCTAAAATACAGGGTAAAAAGTGGAACAAAATTACAGTGCAGTCAGGGCAGGGAGTGTTCTGGCAAGGTCTGGCAAAGTCTGTGCCTGTTAAACTGGAAAATATCTCCTTCCACTAAGCTCTAGTTTAGAGATTTTCAACATGACTATGTGTGAGAGTTGGACTACAGCAAGTATCTGAAGAGGAGAGATTGCATACTCTAAGACAAACAAAAATCTCAGCTTCAGGCTCAGTTTTGCAGGCCTGAAGGGCTCTCAAGTGGAGATGCTACTCAGGCCAAAATTAAGGCAACAGGTTCCAAGATTGCTTTATCTTTATGTAACCTTGTAATAAAAACTAGAAATTCATGCTTTGTTGGATGCAGCAGGTAATTCCAGTGAGCAGAGCAAACAGAGCTCGGGCATGAGCAGTGCAGGCAGGAGTGGCTTCAGACAGCAAGGCTGGCTGTGTGGGTGGCTCAGCTTGCGACCCTGTGGTGCAGAGAGGATGGAATAACTCTCACCAGCTCCAAGGCAGATATGCACAGCATCTTGCTGAAAGCCTCGGTGACTTGTGGCATCAGAACTGAAGCTGGTCAGAGCAGTAAAACAGTGCATCAGAGTCAAAGTTTGCAGCATAGCCCTGAGCTCAAAATGTCGGATCAGTTGTAATACAAGTCATAAGGGTGACAGAACTTAGAAGAAATTGGGATTTTATTTTTTTTTAATTTTGAGAATTAAAATCATGGAGTAGAAATATGTTGGTACTTTTAATATGTACTCACTACTTCCAAAAAGAGCTTGTACTCAGTAGGGGAAAAAAAAAACCCTTATTTTTTCCAAAATATTTCGCCATACTTGCATACTATGATTTTATTTTAAGAGTTGTTAATTGCCATCCAGCAGAGGAAAATGCTAATGGCAGGAATAAGTTGCATGGAAACTCATTTATTGGAATATAAATTGAAATTAAAAAAATTTTTCTGGTGTAGTTGAAAATGAAACTTGTAGACACATACATAGTAAAAATAATATGCATTCTCCTTCCTCCTCACAGTATGCTGGCTTCTGATCTGCATGTTTGCCATTTTTCAGATTTGTTTCTGTAGTTTTTATTCTAGCTGGATAAAGAAAATACCTTTTCACATTTTTAGTTTAAGTAAAAAGGGGGAAATTTTAACAGATCGTTCTGTAATAGTAAGAAGTAAGTTTAGAACCTTGGTGCAATATTATCTCAACAATTCTGCAAGTTTTTTCTGTGTTAAAATGTTTCTTATGCAACATTAAGATTTTTTGTTTTCTTTCAGATACTGATGAATACAGACCACCTGTTTGGAAATCTTACTGTAAGTATCTCAGTGTTTGGGGGTATTTTTCCAAGTCAGAGCTGAAAAGGTTTCAGTTGGATGCTTCAAAAGACTAATTTCTTTTTTCATCAGAATGTGAGTTTCAGAAGCATCAAAAAGGCTCACTTCTGTTTAGAGATAGGTTGAACTACCCCCAGGGACAACTGAACATAGATTCATATTCATTTAGAAGAGTAGATTCTCTGCCCCTTATTAATGTGAGTTGTCCCAGTCCTGCTTGGTTTTACTTACAGTGGTTTGTCTGCCTAGATCAGGGCTTACATAAACTCCATTCATGCCTTAAAGTTGGTATCCTTGCAGACATCTAGGGCTCCTGTGATCTAGTGCCTTGCATCACAAGAGCTGAGCTTGAGCTGGTTAAGAGAACTCAAGAGAAATTGTTTGCTTCAGGAATTTGCTGATGTATTAAAACGAGAGCATTTGCTTGGCCTGGTGTGACAAATCACAAGCAGGTTTTTTGAAGCCCTGCCTAGAATGGCCTGGTTTGCTACCAGCCTGCCCATGCTCTCCAGTTATTGAGGTCTTAGGCAGGTGTGCAGGGCAGCAGCCCAGGTGCCTTGCCCTGAGATCAGAGTGTCACTTCCTTGGGAACTTCACAACTTGCTGTTTTGTTTAAAAAAAAACAAAAAAAAAACCCAAATCAAACCCACAAAAAAGCAAACAGACATTTTTAAATGCAAAAGAATTCCATGTAAAGGAATGACCTCTTATTTGGCTGTGCAAACGGTGGTTTAGGGACATGGAAGAGAACATGAGAAAAATGTAAAAGAGCATTGTAGCTTCCCATAGTGGCTCACCTATAAATTCTAGTTCTTTGTAGATAGAAAACCCAAGATGTGAGACATTTTGAGACTTGAGGAACCACAGCAAGTAAGAAGAGTCTTCTGTGAAAAACAGATTTTGAAAACAGAATGTTTGTATGTATAACACACTTAACAGTTTAGGGATGTCAGACTTACATTTGCATTACTTTGTATATATTCAACTTGGTGTCTTCAGGCTGGATAAAGGGATTTGCTCAAGCAACATTTCACATTGTGAAAATGTTTGTTCTCTAAAGGTTGAGGAGATTTAGCACTTTAGAAAATGTAGTTACTTTAAAAGGTTTCCATCCTGCTGTGGAAGACTTTTTAATCAGAGATGTGGAATTAAAGGCAAAGTGAGAACCATGGTTAGAAAGAGAGCAAGGATAAGAGGGCAGATTTGATTATGTTTTACAGCTCTGTACCTCCTGTGAACTCGGGGAACACTGCTTTCTTGTTCAGTTTATTCCACTCCATAATCTATAACAGGGAGGTTGAACCTCTCTAATATCAGATCTTCATTGGCAGCTTGACAGAAGCTGAAAGTCTGGGCACGTGCAAATGTGCTTGCACCCACTCTGCAGTATGGTTTGCATGTATGGTTTGTGTGCACTCACTCTCCTGCAGCATCATGGTTTGCCTGCCATGGTGAACCTTCCTGTGTTCAGAAGTAAGCTCTGAATCCTGAGGTTTGATTAGATTTCTGTCTCATGACAGATGAAGAGGAATGTCTTCTTTGACTTCCCTGGCAATAATTACAGCAAGGAAGCTGGTGTTGAACTGTTTGAATTGCATAGCTCAGTTAGAGGAGGAGGGATAGGAATCCTGTTTTGTAACTTAGCTAGTCAGCCTGCTGTGCTTCTTACTGGAAGAGGAGAAAGGTATTGCCGTTGGTGAAAAAGAATTTCCTTTCAGAAAATCTTTTCAGCCTGGCTTGAAGTAAGGTGGGAAATAGCTCTCAGTTTTCAGCCAGTTTTTGTGGAGCTGATTGTGGGTCTCCTCTTTTGTGAAATTCAGAAAAATCTTAACTTGTCCTTTCATTTTATTTGTTTTCCTTTGAACTTAGCTCTGCAGTTCTCAGAATTAGACATGGACAAGGTCCAGTGCCATCAAATACAGCTTTTACAATGGAAGCTAGAGAATCTATGTGCTGGCAGTATAAACGGTCATGCTATGCCTAAAATGATAATTGCAATTTTGTATACCAGTGTGCTGTTCTTCATCACTTGCAAAAATAATTTTTGTATTACCAACCCAGCATGGAAATGACTGATTTTAGTAGCAACAGGAAAAACCATTATGTTTTTTTATTTGGAACAAAAGGAATGTTTTTTCCCCAGTTTATCTTATGATACAGTGATCATTGGGCATCTTGCCATTTTCTCTATTCCCATATAGGTTGACACATAAATACAGCATTTGCTAGTGGAAAAGACTTGGCATCAAATGAGAATCATAATGAAGTCAAATTGTATTGGTTAAATTAATGTGTGGTCTTACTATCTGAAGAAGTTGATAGCACAATGTAGACCTTGGTATTCATGCTAATGATTGAGATTTAATTTTAAAATATTACAATTCCAAATGTCCATTTTTCTATTTCTAGTGTACTATTGAAATACTAACTTAGTGTTGACAGCCTCATTTTGAAGGGGACTTGCCAAACCAGATTCAGTTGGCATAGAAGTTGAAAAAATTTCTTTGGTATTATACTAGAAAGTCTGTACATACTAGTAGCATTAAATTTACATCTGGTTGCAAAGATCTGTTCTGGCTTGATGAAGCTTATTTTAAAAAATAGAGAAAAAGAAGGATGAAAGATATAAAGGTAAGTAAGTGTATGTCATAATTTGGGCCTTAGCTATTTTATTGTGCTACTCAACTCGCTATGTCTTTAGATCTGCAAATGCAAAGACCATCTTTCTCTTTCTTCAGACAGTTCCTCACTGATCAGTGGTGAAGGCATTCTGTGTGATACTTGTAAAGTCTTGACATATTGCAGGTGACTGGGTGTGTGCCCAGCATAGAAGGATTAGGTTCCATCTGCTTATGGAAGAAAGTTTGACAGCCGCCTGATTTGCCATATAATGAACTTTAATTTGTGTCTGTTATGATTCTTTTTCTGATCTGTTTGTTGGAAACGTGTCTGATTTCACCTAGTTATTCCATATTACTTGATCAATTTGTTGTAAAGAAAATCAATATCCCATTTTGGCTTGCAACATGCTTTTTTTCTGACCACTTATTAGTAAATTTTTATATCCTTGGTATCCTTGTGTTAAACTTTGCAGAAAACTCTCCCTTATTTAAACCACAATGTTTAATGTTAAAATGTCTAACTTACACAATGATTCTGTATTAATTAGAATTTAACTTCTGCCTCTTCCCAGTGTATCAGTTGCAACAGGAAGCTCCCCATCCTAGAAGAGTAACCTGCACTCGTGAGGTACGTATCACGGTGTTCAGTTTTATACAGTCCGGTAATTCCATGTCTGTACTTAATTGTGTCCAGCCCAGAGTGGTTCCTTGGGACCACTTTGTGCTGTGGTTAGAATGGGTAGCCTTGGGGTGCTGATACTCAGAAATCCATCTGTTCTAAAAATGGAATTTAATGCATTTTGATATGTATCATCATTTACTAAGAATCATTTACTACTTTTTGATTCTTAGATACATGGAAACATACTTTTTCTCCTCCCTTTCTCATCAGAAATTCACAGAAGCAAGAGCAGAGCTGTGCAGGGAACTATGCACCTGTTCCTTACGACATCACTACTAGATATGCAAAATAAATTAGCAGAGGGAAGACTAAAACCACCCCTGGTGCTGTTGTTTGAGTCATAGTACTTAAGACTCATAAATAGCAGGAGCTAAGCTATACAGACCACAGATGTTACGGACTGAAGTGGTAACAATGGGATCCCATTGATGGGCAGTGATACGGGAGCACTGCTCATGGGATCCGCTGTTGAGGTAGACCCTGCTGTGCCCTGAGCTGCTGTTCAGCAGAGCAGCTTCTCTCCAGGGCTGTGGGGCTCCAGGGTTTAGCTGACACCAGGCACTGGTGCAGCAAGGTTTAGTCATACCTACACCCATCTTGCAGCTTCGCTGAAGAATCTGGGAAACATTCATTTAAATCTCAAAAATGCTGAAACGTTAGGCAGTATTGCAAAACACAGCTCTTACTGAATAACTGGAAGTTATTACATTGCTGCAAGAAAACTTGAGTGTTTTTATCATTTGCCAAGAGAAATAAAATTGATCTTTGAGATATGTTAGTTGCTTCGATGTAGCTATTAAATACAGAGGGATGTAGCACACTCAGGAAGGAACATTAATAGCTTACAATTTAGATGACAGGGAGGATTACTTGACAGAATTATACGGGCTCTTAGACAGTTCTCTGTAGTTTTTATAAAAGTCCAACTATAATTCTATGAAGTAGTCTGTCAACTTCAAAATAAAATTTAGTGATTTAACAGAAGCAAAGTACTGCATTTAATGGAAGCACTCATTTTCCTCTGTTACTTTGGTATTTCTAAGAAAGCTATAGCTGTATCTTACTGTGCTTAATCAAGATATAGCTACAGGAAGGAACAATACTTGAATTTTACAAGAATTATAGCAAAAAGTTTTGTTTTGACAAGGATTTCTACTGTTAATGAGCATCAAAACAGAGGTATTCCAGTTAGAATTGTTGTGCACATGTCTTAGTTGGATGCAGATTTGAAGGGAAGATACTTACAGAAGATAAGACCCAAGCTGTGAAAAAATGGGATTTTTCCCCAATTTTTAATTCCATTGCAACATTATTAAGAAGGTTCAGTTCTAATTTGAGTACTCTCTATGGTACATTTTTTCATTATATTAATATACCAAGTATCTGAAGTCTTGTAAAAGCTTAGTATTACAATACAGGCTTAACAATTCAGAGTGTTCACCTGGATAGGATAAAGTATTTTATTCCTTGCATCCAATGGATTGTGCTTATTGTTGCTTTTTCCTTCCTCTCCTCAGAAGTCTTTCACTGGTGGAAGAGGTGGCGGTATGTGTGTGGTTATGTGTACACAGGCATATTGTAAAACCTTGATGAGATTTTTGGTTGCCCTCTGACACTGTTCCTTGAGGTGCTGACATTATGCCTGTACAATCACTGGAGCCTTTTATTTTCTGATCCTTATCTCTGAGTCCTGCTGTAGTTTACTGCCATAGTGACAGACTTACAGTGTAATGCTCATAAAGCTGCCTGACTTTTGTGGTGATGGGTGAAAATTTTTCTGTTTCTTCAATTAGATGCTTTGAGGATCTCATCTGTGAATGTTTTAATTCTCACAGAATTAGAACCTTTGTTTTTCTGTATATAGTTTTATGTCTTTAAAAAAAAACCAAACCAAAATAAAACAACAAAGAAACTAAAAAAAACCCAAACCCATAATTGAAAGTACCAACACAATTAAGGAAATTATACAATTCTTAATATGAAAATTTTAATTATTTTGTAATTATTTGACTGCACAAAGTATATATACTCTGTAGTCAGGGTAAACTGATAAAGGACTCCAGGATATTCAGTAAGATGTGTTTGCATTATATCCCAGGCTAGTTTGGCTGCAGAGAAGGGCTTGGGGGTCTTTTGTCCCAGGTGGTAGGAACTCACAAGCAAATTTCATACTTTGTTCTTCTTCATAGTATTTCTTTGAATACTATTAGCTAATACAATCAAATAAGCAGAGATATAAATGTGTATTCAGTATCTGAAAATTAAAATTTTTTCCTGCCTCTGGGGTGATGGAAATTGTTCAGCTGTTAATCAGATAGAGATTGTCCTCTTTTTAGACTAGAGCAAGAAAATTGCCAGCCAAATTTAAAAGCATCTGTGTAAATCTTCTTCAAATACCAATCACATTGACTACTACAACTTTCTCGTCCTCATTTTCACTGAATTTCAGTTCTGTTAATTGGAAAATTTTATTAGCTCTAATAGAGATAGTAAATTAAAAAGTTGGACTGGTTTACAAAGGAAAATTTGCTATGGGAGAGCGGTGGCCTCTAGCCTGTTACAGTCGATGGGGGATTTGCAAAAGTATCACAATCAGTTGAAACACTGCTAAGTTCTGTCACCAGTAGAGAAAGAAATGCAACACATTAGTGTCTGTAATGCCATATTTCTATGAATTTATTCCAAAACAAGATTATGACATATGACAAACTTTAAATGAGTGTAAAACTATCCCTGTGTCTGAGTGAACAAAAAAATGAGACACTGTGTTTTAAAATAGCTTCTTGAACTCTGAAGAGTAAACTTGTGTCTGCACCATGAACATTGTTGTAGAAACTGAGAAATAAAAGCTGCAGATTTAGAAACTAGTGAGAATAGAAGTAAACACAAAACTATGAAAGAATCAGTCAGGTATTTAGCTGCAGAACAGAGCATATTAAATACACATTTTATCATTGCAAAATTAGTTTCTTTTAAAAAAAGCTCTTGGAAGCTTATTTTTAACTAATAAAGGTAAAGTTGAAGAAGTACATTATCAGTGTGCATTTTCCTACTTCTGCATTAATTCGTTATAATGCAGATAACACTTTTTCATTATATGTATTGACCAGTTTATGCAGCTGAGCTGATTTGAAGTGAAAATATATTCAGTGAACAGTAACTTGTTAACCTTTCTCTCTGGTCTGAGCCTCTCCTGCTTGTGCTGAGCTTTGTGATCTGTTCTTTCTCAGCTGGGTTTCTATTAACAGCCATGCATGAGTCAGTGGGGAGCAGAATCTCTTCCTGAGTGCTTGAATTATTCAGCTGTATAAACAAATTCATAAATATTAGGAAGAAAATTTTGGTCCTGAAAACATCAAAGAGGTCAGTAGGAATGAACAATATGTAATTTGGTGAGGTATTAGCACATAAATTGCTCTTCATGACTTATTGTAATCCACTTGTTGACAAAAGCAGGAGGGATGATTAGGGAAAAAGCACTCGTTAAAGAATAATTTGAAATCACACCATAAAAAAAACCCAACCCTTTATTTCATGTGCAAAGGCACACATTGTACAAGTGCTGATACTGAGAGGTGTATTCAACAGAATGACCTACTTAACTTGAAATGCTTCTCAAATACAAAGAATTCAAGTTTCTGCTCTGCTACACCAATTTCATATCAGAGCAACACACAGATCAGTGGAGAGATGCTGAAGTAAAAAGAGCATTGCATTCATTTGGGATTTTTTTTTTATTGTGAAGGTGCAGCAGAGCCAAGTCTTTCAATACTCCATGAGGTTAAAGTTGATGATTCCCTAACATTCTAAGGCTATTTGACTTCTGCATGAGGCTTGTATGCAAATTAAAGTGTTGTTTGTCCACTTAATACTGTATTTCCTTCATGAAGCTGATATTTGTTGTGCATATATGTGCATGCATAGGCATATTTAGGGCAGCTTTCACTGATATATGAAAGCATGAACAATTTTAAATAACTATATGAAAAAATACATAGTACGGAGATAATTAAAATCACTGGCTTTTTCTGTCCTTTTCGGAGATTTCATCCTAATTCAGTGCTGATAGTTAACAAGCCTGTCAAACAGCATCTCTGTGTAGTATTGTGAAAATGGTCAAGAAACACAGAATAGATGGGCATATATAATGAGCTGTTTGTAAAGGTGGCTTTATCTGCATGATATTTGACCAGAACAACTTTCCAAATTCCATGATAGCTAAGGTCTTTGCCAAAGGAATGTCTACTATAAGGTGCTTGCTAATTCTGCCTGATTTGTCTGTTCATAAATTTGATTTCATTGCCTTCACACCTCAGTTTGAAAAAAATGATGAATTAAGCAATGGTGGATATCTTGTTGATCTTTGTGTTTCTTGAAGGTATCGTAGGGAGACTTTAATTTATTCCCTTGGCATTAGTGGTGTACAAATAAACACATTTAAAACAAATATCTCATGCTTTTTTTACGCCTTTTTTTTTTCCAAGTTAGAAGGTTTTAAAACCTTGCCAAGCAAACAGCAATAGGAAATTTTTCCCATAAGAAAAATCCTGAGAAGTCAACAGGCTGGATACAAAGAAAAAGAAGCAGCTATGGCTGCCCTTACACACACTCAGCAGTGCTTTGGTTTAAAAATACTACCAAATGAGAAAAAAATTCTGCAGAGTGTAATTACACTGTCTTTTCATCTATCAGCTTTAGATAATAGGACTGACTTCTTGCTATCATCTTGTTTTAAAATGTATTTCCTTTCTTAGGTGGGTTTAGTTCCAGTCCAGATGTTTTCATTTTTTCTCCTTAATTTAGTTAGAAAGTTAGACTAATGAAGCTTCTGAACTAAACTGTTTTGTTTAAACTGTTTGACTTTCAGTGCTCATGTGCAAAGGGAGGATACATGGGTGCCTGTGATTGTCATTTGTAGAATTAATTTTGTAGGATACGGTCTGGCAGGAACTTTTTGAAGTCCAAGGAAACACAAAAGACCAAGAAAGCTGCACATTGCTTCCAGTGCAGTTAAGGATAAGAATAAACAAACACTATGTCTAAGTTGCAAAGGGTACAGCTGGTGTAATAACACCTGTCAGAAGCTTTATAGAAAGCTTGAGAACAATGTTTGCTGTCTTGCATGGTAAATTTAGCTTACAGGGAGTCTGTGTGGTTTTCTCAGTGCACGCAAACTGCAGTGCATATGTAGCCCAGTCATTCTGAGTGAATTAGAAGGCCCCTGCTGAGTTCTAATGGAATTTTCTTTAAGTCTTAATGTATGTCAATATAGATGCCAAAACCCTCTAATATTATCATAAATGTAAACAGTGATGGGGAAAAAACCCCAAAACACAAATAAACAGGCAATAAAACTCAGTGAATTGAGGTTCCAGCTGCACTGAGTCGTATGCAAGCAAAAAGTGTTGCCCATCAACATTTATTCTGAAGTTACTGCAAGTTGGTAAAACTCATCAGTAGAGACTGTTAACAGAAGTGGTTATTTTCCTTTTTAACTCATCATCCACCAAAATGAACTGCAAGACTAGCTACAAATGCCTGGAAGTCCTGTGGAGGTTTTTCCAGATGCTTTGTTCCAGTCATCTGCCCATTCACATTTTCAAATGTTTGTGCAGAGTATATTATAAATTTTCTTAGGATTTGCAAGTACCCTGAAGATGACCTGTCAAGTTACTAATCCATTTCTGAAAAGGAATGCTTTTGTGCATATAAATTTTCGATTCTGTCTTATAAATTCACTGAAATAAATATAAAATCTCACTAGACAGACAGCAAAATCTTATTCATGACAGGATTCTTCTTTTAACAACTGCCCTAAACTAGTGTCTTGGCTTAAGGGTTTTAGTTAAGAATTGTTGCAAGTTTCTATAACAACAACAATAAAAGGCTTTCATTTTTTCTGTTTATGTCACTATCTTATTGAAGAAATAGCCTACATTTAACAAAAAATATCGAAGACGTCTTTTCTTTTGAAATGATCCAGTCTCTTCAGGCCCTTTGAAAACAGCTATCACACCAGTCAACTCTTGTTTGCTGTTATAAAGGAAAAAGAAATATTTTAGAACATGATAAATCTTTCCAGTGATGGAATGTTTTTTTCCAAAGTGATGAATCATTACAATAGTTTTTTATTTGCTGGGAATGTCGAAGAATTGTTGTTAGACTGTACATGAGGATGTATGTTGGTTTTTGTTGTTTTGGATATCTGAAATCTTTCTACTCCATGGAAAAAATGGGAGAGAAGCGCTAATATTAATAAGCTTTTTGTTGAAAAGTTGGAAAAAAGAAACTGAAGTGGCATTCTGTGTTTCAGCGTAGCTGGATTCTTTTATACTTTTGTAGTTCAGATTGTATAACTGTTGACTTTTACTCCCCAAAGAGTTTCCCCCTTTAAATTTAGCAAGAAAGGATAACCTGGTAGTTTAGACTATTAGCTGGTTTCTGTGAGATCTGCTGTTCCTCACTTGGCTTTAAACTTCCTGGACAAATGAAGATTGATTACTTCCTCTAAAATAGTTATCAGGCAACCTGTACCCTGACACCTCTGCATGTTGTGTGCATTTACACCATAAGGTGTCTGGAGCACTGACAAGGTAGAGTGACACTACACAACACATGCACATCTGCTTTTGAAGTCTTCCAGGAGATACTGCAGATCACACAGTTTAATGCAGTCAAGGAGTACAAGACTTAGGCACTTGGTGATTCACTCTACCCTTTGCCCTCACTCTGAGGGCTATATAGTAGTGGCTTTATTTCAGCAGGGACACCAACAGCTCTGTAATGGAAGGTAACTATTTTTTTTTAAAAAATAGTTTTATATATGTTTCACTATATTAGTGCACTCAACAATATGGGGCACTTACATGCATGAAATGCAAACTCATTTCCCCTTTCTGGCACTTCGTAAAAGCAATATTTAATGCCATCAGTTTGTATATGCAGAGTCCCGAGGATGACATGATCCAAGTGGCTCATCCTTTCTCCCTCCATTTTAAGCCATTCACAAATGCAATTATTTTCTGAAGGTCTCCCTTTGGTTTCCCTATGTTCTAATTGCAGAAGAAATTCTGTTGTAGATTATTTTTTGCCTGCACTTTCACATTTCACATTTTCCCTTTCTGGTTTTAATGCTATATTTTAGACAGTCCACTTACTGTATAGCTTTTCTTGTTATGAAGCATTACAATTTCTGTTGTTTCTTCTAGGTAGAGAACAGACCCAAATATTATGGAAGAGAGTAAGTAGCAAACATCTCTGAAAGTGATTTATCCTGACATATTGGTTAATAATAGTTGCAGAAAAGGTGTCAAGTATTAATTCTGTGCTCTTTGTTTCTTCTGCATGTTTTACAGCAATGTCTCTCACCATCAGATCGTTATTACAGTGCCATCACTTTTGTCTACCTAAAATTACAGCTGCAATTTCTGATGGTTATGGATATCACTGAGTGGTATTTTAATTGATAAAAACATACATATGTTTCTGTACTTTCAAGGGATTGGCTTTTTCCATCTCTCTCTCCAGTTGGCTTTGAAAAAAGGTGTTTCTGTTAAGGAAAAAAAGCTATTTGGATCTATATGTGTCTCCTCTTTCAAGTTGCTAATGCAAAGATGGTTAGCTTTAGTGTGGAGAAACAAAGCAGATCTTACTTATGTTTATTTTGGCAAAAGATGTGTAGTGTTGCTGGGTTATTACATCAGCAATTACTGAGATTATGGCAACTTGCTAAAATCTCAGAGACTGCATAAAATATCCTCAAATGCTTTAAAATGTTTGACTGCATGCCACTAGCACAAAACATGTGAAGCCAGCAGGAGAAAACAGATTTATTTCTATATATTAAATTGATAGATGCAGATTTTAAAACAATGTACTTGTTTCATAGATACTCTTTCCTAGAAGCTTTTTAAACCATTTAAAGTAACTTCAAATACAGACAGAAAAGGAAATTAACTTAAACTATAGATTCCTGAAAATCAGTCATTTTTAATTACTATTGTTGGTGCTTTTTTAAAGAAGACCGAAAAGTGATTTAAAAGAGAAGAGGCATGTGTTTCAAAAACATTTTTGTTCCTTAGATTCCATGGGATGATCTCAAGGGAGGAAGCTGACCAATTATTAAGTGTTGCAGAGGGAAGCTATCTCATTCGTGAAAGCCAAAGGCAACCTGGAACCTACACTTTGGCATTAAGGTCAGTAATTAATATTTCATTTTTAAATTCATAAAATATTCAGGAGATTTTACTGTGTTGCTGACCTCAGAACATAAAATTCTTTGTGATTGTTTTAAATTTTTTTAATCATTACACTTTTTTACCCTAGTTACAGATTCAGTATCTTTAATGTTCACTGCCCCTTTTTGAAGTGCTAACGTTCCTTATTGCTTGCACCATCGGGATAATAGCAATTGTGGTTTTGCTGGTGGAGCTTCATTTTGCCCTTGTCCCACTAGGATACAGATGTGGCCCCATGCAGATGCTGGGAGAGCAGGTGAACAAGAAATAAAAGGCATCTTATGAGTTCCCCTGACTAGTGTGCCATGCACTGGCTAGGTAGCTGTTGCTGAAGAGCACTCAGCTTTCTCTAGTCTCTCCATGGGATGGCAACAAGTCAGGAGGCCCTTTCCTGTCTGAACACCTGTTACCTAACAGTGTTTGCAGATCTGCTTCTTCATTCTGCAAAGTTCTGGCAAGTGGGTCAGCTATAAATAAAAATCTCAAATAAAAAATAGTTGTAAGTTTTAAACAGCTTAATTACTTTTAAGATATTGAGGTTATTTTGGCCTGTGCTGTACAGATGGGAGATGGTGATTATTAGCCATGTTTTAAATCTAAGTGGGACAAAAAAACATTGAAGGAGAAGATGCAGTCACTGAAAGTTTTATATGGGTAAAGTAAGATTATAATTAAAGTAATAATATCTTGAAATAATAGGTTGTGATGAACTAGTTTTTCAGGGGAAAAAATGAGTATATTTTCATAGGATATTTGTTTCTGTAGTTACAAGATTTCAAAGAGAAACATTATTGACATTTATACTGACTTTCATTAACAGTGTAAATTTGTTATTTCTTATTAAAATAATACTCAGTTTCATCATCTTCTGCTCTTGCAATATTCTTTTCTAAAAAGAAATCAGTTGTTTTAACACTTGGCTTGAAGGAAGAGCTTCCACCCCTTGCTTCCAATGGTGCAGAAGGCACAGGGCTTACAGACTAAGATGAAGCTGTTGAGCATCTTGTACGATTCATTGCCACAGGTTGTTTTTTCGAATGTACCTCCAGTCCAGCAAGTCAGAATATGTCTTTTTTTCCCAGGCTTGGTGGTGTCTCTTTCACCCTGGAAAACCCCTTTTAAAACAATAAAATCAATTTTATACCAAGCAGAGAAAAGAATGGCTAGTTGTTAGTGATCAGTTTGGGAAAAGGTTTCAAATTATAGCAAAGTTGTTATCATTGATTTATTTTGATGAAATTCAGTGTTTGAGAAAACACATCAGAAACTGAAACTGCAGCATCTTGCAGCCATTTCATTATGTATAAGTGCTAAATGAGTCGTGTATCAAGGGCAGTGGGTCTAGGTGGCTGCTTTCCTTCCCACAGCAGATAATGCTCAGTTGTCTCGCTGTTAGCCCTCAGAGTGTATGAATGAGGGTGTTAACTCTCATACCTTAGGTGGAACTCTGTGAACTGTGGTGCTCTGTCTTCCACACTTTGGAATTTTACCACTAGGATTTTTTTTGTCACTACTAGGTAGTGTAGCAGAAGTCTGTGTTTCCACTGACTGGAAGGAGAGTTTTGCTCTGTTTTTAGTTTTCCTCTCCCTGGAATTATAAATGCAGAATATAACCATTAGCCAAAATGCCCACTTTGTTTCTGACATTTTAACCTCTCTTAAAAACAAGGTCCTTTCTGCAGTCTCTCTCTGCATCCTGACTGTGAGAAGTTTTCTGTGATTGCCATGATCAGTGTGTGTAGTTCTATCATTTTTTGAGAGCATCACTTGTGTTTGGGTCACTGCCAGATGGCAAAGATGGACCTGTCTGCAGTTTAGATAATCCCAGCAGGAATTTAAGAATGTCATTTCCATGGCCAAAAACAGAGCTTGTCAGTAGGATGGTATGTATGAGCAAATCTTTTCCAAGTTCAACAAAAGGCTTTGATTGAGTTCCGGGTCTCTAATTTCACCCATCCTCTTCTAGCTGTATTTGAACCGATTTGGTCTTTTCATACTAGGATTAGGTGCCACTCTGTCTCTGAAGAAGTCATGTTAAATTTAAGATCACTTTAGTATGATTTTTGCTTTTCCTTCTTTACCTTTGTTTTACCCCTTAGAAGTTGTGGGAGGAAAGAAAACTTGGTCAGCTGTTACATAAAAAACAGACACAGAACAGATTCCAAGAATTTTATGAAGTTAACCCAGCAATTCTCTAGAGGTGCTCTAATTCTGCACTAACATAGCGACAAAACATAAAATGAAATATCCTTGTTTTCTGATAGGTTTTCAGGCACATTTTGGTAAAAAAGTTGAGTAAAATTTAGGTTCTTGAAGGTGCTATCAACTCTTGGCATAAATACTTGGTTCCCTCTGTATTTCTGTGTATCTACTCAATCTCTCTCGCTGTTTGTTGTTTGATGTGTCAGTCTTTGACAGTGTGTCAGATCTGATTAAGGCAAATTGGAAACTGCCTATGAAGTGTGATTGCATCATGAAATCCCAGTTTGTCGAGACATAAAAGTCTTGTGGTAGCTCTGGGTAGGAGCAGCTGATGTTGAGACTGAGACAGGTTTGTTTCCTGGCTTGTAGCTGCCGATGGTTCTGCTGGGGAGGCAGGCAATTCAGTGAGACAGACGGCCCAGCACGTCCAGCTCTGGCAGATGCCTTCTTCCTGTGTTTGTGTCAGCGTGCCTGGGAATCCTGAAAAACCCAGTGCATCCAGTCGTGAAGAGCAGTTTAGTGAAACAGGATCATATCCCTTCCTGTGGCAAGGTATGATGTCTCTGTAATGAAATGTTTCCAGTCTTCTTTTCTGAAATGGAGAACAAGCTTTTTGTGATTTGTCCTGAGTACCCAAGCCAGACAATTCCTCAAATCATTATGGAGCACTTTCAGTGTTACCTTTGATTCCACCAGCTATTGTAGCTGATGTCCAAAATCTCAGTGCCTGTACCAGGCAGGACTGCACATCCTGTTCAAGATGAACTGCGCCACGTGTTTTAGTTCTTTATTCTCTAAACCCTTCTAAATGAGTTTCTGACCACTGTGAAGCATTAGGCTGTGGTGCTTTTATGGAACTAGCTTTAGTAGATCTAAAGGTCTTGTTCCTGAGCTGCTATAGCTAGACATAGCCTAGCACCACTTAAATGACCAAATATAGGACAGGAAAAATAATACTTTTTGCAAGCTTAAGCAAGGCGGTCAGCTGTTTGTAGAGTTCAAAGTGAAGATTTTTAATATTTTTACTTTGTAAGGTAGAGAAAGTAACTCTTACCCAAAAAAACTTTTCAGTTTTTAAACTTGCTGTTGAGTTACTGTAAAATCTGCTTTCCACTTATATAACAAGCTGCATTTTGATTATCTTATGATGAGCTATTTTTGTCTACTTTCATCCATTATTGTGCAATTAATTTGCATCATGACTTTTTCAAAGGCAGGCTGCCTTTTAAATCTAAATTTGAAACAAAAGATGGTGGATTTTTTTCAGAAAATAATTTTTTCAGAATTTGTAAGAGAGGTAGAAGTATGTTCTTAAAGAAAAGGAAAATGATAATTTAAATGTTGTTTTAAGTATAGAAGTTTGACTAAATATTCAGAGCTGTCCTTCAAATAAAACTGATGTTCAGAGCCTAAGAAGGCCTGTAAAATTGTGTCAGCTCAGATACCATATAAAGGAGAATGAAGCATAAACACAATTGAGAGCAGCAAATCAGCTACTTATATTTAATGCCTGTACTTAATCATGGATGCATTCACCAATCTTTACTAATTAATTAATCAATCAGAGAATGCCACTGAAAATGTTTTGTACTCTTGAGCTTTAAAAAAATTACTAACATGAGCAAACTATCATAGATACATGTCTGTGTCCATACATGTCAGCAAGTCTCAGAATAAAAATATATATAATACATTGTAATGTTAATTCAGTGTTCCAAACAGATTAAAAGAATGAAAATTCCCAATTCACTTCTGGAGCTATTAGATCTGCTTTTAAATTTGGCAAAAGGTTAGTACATTGCTTAATATTAAGACCTGTAGCAAGTGACAGTAGCAATAGACATGGTTTGCAATGTAGCCTTTTGTGGTGGAGAGCTTGTTTAATAATTAGGATAAGGATAAAGAGGAAATGGGTAGAGAGTGTACTAGTGGTAGGCGTTGAAGTGTGATGGTACTGCATGTTCTTTTGAGCAGATAGCTGCTGTAGCACATTTAATTGGTTACCATGGTTTCCCTTCCTGCAAATTCTATTGTTGTGATACTGAGAATGAATTGAAATAAGGTTCTGCAGCATGATTTAAAAAAAAAAAGAAAAGATAATAATGTGAGCCATGATTATGAGTCATGTTTTCTTTATGTTTGGGGGTTTGGGCACACTGAAGATTGTGTGGCACCAGGAAAGAATTCTTCAGGTGAATGTCAAAAATTAGTAATCTTTATTTTAGTCAACCATTTGCATGTATTGTGCAAATCACTACATTCTCAATCACTAAATTATGAAATTTTGTTGAGAAACTAGCCACTGGATTTTAAAAGGAGACCTAATTGGTAGGCTATTAGAGCATAATGCTGGAAATGAACCTGTTAAATTTCAGAGGATGACTGCTTTGGTAGCTGGATGCTGTTTATTTTCAGTGAGCTCTATTGGGACACATGTGTAGTGCTGTTCCAGAACACGTGTGGATTGCTGTGGGATTACTTACACATGTGGAATTCAACATCTGCAAAAGCCTTCTTGAATTCAGAGATTAAAACTGCTGATCTGCATTCTGCTGAAAAGCCTCCTTGTACATACTGGGACACAGGAGAGCAATTGAGGCAAGAAGAATTGTTTGAAACTACTTTCTACACAATAATAGGTGAATTACGTTTTTCAAATTACAAATGTATCAAAATCTGATCATAGTTTATCCTGCATCTACAGCTGATCTGTAAGTAGTCAGAAGGAGCCCAGCAAAACAGTAGCTAACTGCATCTCTTCACTTTAAACCATGGCAACAGTAGTCTGACATCATGCTAGTTGGAAGGAAAAAAACTTAAAGACCATTTTAAAGACTAAACTTTACATATCTTTCTGTGTATTTCTTTTTACCTTATTTGCAAATGAAGCAATTGGCAGTAGCAAGGGTTGATTTCAGTTTCTAGAATCCTTTCTAAAATATTCATACAATATTCTTTAGTTGCTAACTGGAAAAAAAAAACCAAAAAAAATAGGGGAAAAGGTGGTGATAAATTCTGGAGCTTGCTTTTCTGCTTCAAGTAAAACACTTGGCCCTCTATTTAAATGATCCTCCACGTAAAAAGTTTCTTTCTCTACATAAAATTTCACACTAAATAATTTACTCTGTTAGTTTGTCAATAACATGAAAGGTTCAGCTATCAGTAAACAGCTGAGGTGTCTGCTTGTCATCTGCCTTATGTAAGTGCACCTGGGCACTACTGAAATGGCTTCACTTAAGTATTTAGAATAATAATAAATAGCTACTAACCTTAATGAGTAATTAACTGGCTACCTAGGTCCTCCCACAGACTAGAATGCTTTTTTCCTTATGGTTCATGTCTTCTTGCTGTGTTCCTGTTCTCCTTCCCTCCTCTTCCCATCTGTTGTTGTTGTCAGCTCTGTTTTCTTTTGGCTAGAGTGTCTAATTTATCTTTGGCAATTCAGTTTACTGCAGTCTTTCTCCTGCTCGTGTTAAGTTCAGCACTTCTCAGAGGAATACTCTCTGCTTCAGTGTGTTGTGAACTTTTTTGGGAGAACTTGTTCAAGAGCTGCCTGTGCTCGGTGTACACAGCTCATGTTCATTTGATGCCAAGTCCCTCACCCTGGCTGTAGCTTCCGCTGTGATCTGGTGAGCAGCAGAGGCACTGGGCTTGAGGTGAGGTACTGTGCTGGAGATCAGAAGGTCTGGGCTCACTTTTGGCTTCATATATGACTTGGCTTTTAGGCCATGAAGTTCTGCAGGCCTCATTTCTCCATTAGAGAAGATGTTTTCTCTTCTCTATTGTCTCACATGCTTGTTCAGTACAAAAGTCTAGGATATCTTAAAAATGGCCTAGGCAGACTGAAGGCTGTACCTCATCTCTCAGACTATCCCCAGCCTCAGCTCCTGAGTAGGAATCTGTGTTGAACTTTGCTGTCTTTATGCTACATAGTGTCTGCCTGGTTTAAAGCTTCTAGGCACTCTTGGAGTTGAAATACTTGTTGACAAAATCAAATTGCAATGCAATCTGTTGGTAATTAAATTGTGTATGCAAGTGCATTGTGCTCACCTCTCCTGTCCAAGCATACATATATTTTCCATCTTCTGCAAGTTCTCCTGGAGTGCCTCTTTTTCTCTACTGCTTTTCAAAAATGCTAGGTAGAAATCTATCTTCAAGTTAGTCCTTTTGCTTGGCCTCTTCTTTTGTTTTTGGAATACATATTTATAAATTTTTGTATTTGGAGAAATGCCTTTATTCCTGTACTTCATCAGCTGGAGGTACTGCAGGTGCTTCGTAGACATGTTTTCAAGATAATACACAATAGCCTTACATTGTTGTTTAATGTCATAATTGCTTTCATCAAAACATTTATTAATTATTCAAACACCAAAACAACTGATAGCAATAAATGGTTATATGGCCCAGTTTTCCTTTTCCTCCTCCCTCCTTTATACTTGGTGAAACTCAGCTGAGCTGAGTGTGGTTCCTCCTGTTTCTTAGGTGCTAGGAAGAGAATCAAGCTAATTTTTTTTTTCTTTTGTATCTTGAGATGAATAAATGAACTCTTAACAGTTTCAGTAATAAATTGACATCTGTCCCATTTATTGCTGCACTTGCATGAAAGAAGAAATTGTATTGTAGAAAAACAGAATTTGCAAACAAAAAAAAAACCTATTAATTTTCACCAATGAACTGTTAGTAGCCTCAAGAATTCCAACAATTCACATTATATATGCATGAACAATTTCATTTTATGTTACTAAGCTTGTTTATTGTTAGGGAATGCAGCTTTGAGGAAAAACCATTTAGAGAGCAGGATGAATATATTGGTGAATCTCACTGCAAAGAAGTGATGTGTGAGTACTAGAAGATTAGAGGTATAATACACTGAGAAAACAAGTTAAGTGAATAGCAAATTCTGTAATACCTTTAAGTAAGTTAAGTAAACCTGCGTTGCAAGATTTGAATTAGCAGTGGCTTAAGGCAAATCAGATTTGACAAAATCTCTCTGGAATAGGAATCTTACTGTAGTTTTGTTGGTTTTTTTTTAATCTAAGTGAATTTGGGTTTTCTTGAGACCCTGAACAACAACCTGCTGTGTACCTTAGGAAAAAACCTGAACAACAGCAAATACAGTGTTGCTCCACTCTGCTCTCCAAAAAACCTTTCTGGACTTGCAAAGTTATTTTACAGTAAGAACATCTTTTTGGGTTTTCACTTAATGTCATATATGACCTAGAATGAAAATGTTTTACACAGAGAAAAATTTGAAAATTTTGAAGTTTGCTGAGCACACAGTGGTAGGGTTGCTTGAAACACAGTTCTATTTTAAAGCAGTATGAAAGCTCTCTGTAGCATGAAGTCACATGGTAAAATTAACTCTTGGAAGAGCCTACTCTTAAAAAATTTTGGTAAATATTATTTATGTATTAGGAAACTGTGAAAGTTAGTAACATTCCTGCTAGTAACATTTCCAGATGATCTTTATCCAGCCAAGATGGCATAGGTCTCCAAATATTGCTCTCATGTAAAGAGAAGATACCATTTTAATACGTTTTAATATGTTTTAC